TAGCCAAAAATTCAATTAATTAAAATAATATAAAAAGAATTTTTACTGTTAGTCACTGTGGCTATATTAACGTTAAAATCAAATTTAATAAACTCTTAATATAATTTGGTAGGTTAAATTTAGGTTGAACAGGAATTAAAATTTATTTTTAACTTATCCAAGTATTGTACACCAGAATACTACAAAAGAAAAATATTGTAGAGTCAATATCTCTCTTAGGGACTTAAGAAAAATATTGTTATTATATGCATGGAAGAAGGAATGAGACATTATAAAATAGATCCATAAAAAGTGTTAAAACTTATTAATTAGAAACACTCACGTAAACGACACCCCACAATTTATTTATGTGAATTGGTAGTACCTCTATAGAATGTTACTAAAATTTAATGTCAGTTTACGTCAACTATTTTTGCTTGAAGGTTCTGCGATGGCACAAAGTCATCGGTCTACGATATAAGAAGTATTGGTAAGAATTTTGATCAATCAATCGGATAATACAACACTACATACATACGTATATCTACTATTTATTATATATATTTTTCCATTACAGTTAGTTTAAATATATCATAAGTACTTCAAAAAGCATTTAACCGACTGTAACATAAAACTATCTTTATAAATGTTGTGATGTTTTAAAAAACAACCAACTTCCCATACCTGACTAAATTTAAATTATTGTATAAATTGATATCGTGAGGTCATAGGTTCTTTTACATAAAAATAAGTTCATGCCATGCATAATTTCGTTAGTCCATCCTAGCATTTCTTACAATTGCAATTATCTGTACAATCATTTATACCATAATATTGAGCGCATATTTTAAGTATGAATATTTTCACTTGAATTTCTGAAACCACCCATTTTTGTATTTTATGTGACTTCAGTTGGTTGCACCTGACAGAAAAACGGTTTCTGTAACTTACGAGTTTGTATTTCAATTTTAATTTGACATTTTTTCATTCCTTTAATCATTGCGAATTGTTTAAATGTCATGTGCAGATAAATGCAAGGCGCTACGGGCATATTGACACTAACTAATTGATTTGCATATTTGAAAAAGATTAGATTTTTATAAAATATTACTTTTTTATATGAAAGTATTTATGTGTGTCGCTGTACATTTAACCCAACCAATTATGGTGGCCACTCCATAAAAATGAAGTATGAACTATGCAAAAATTCAAAAACTGCAAAATGTGAATTATAAATTGAAGGAATTTGAAATCTTCTTAGTAAGATGGCATTTGAATATGTGGCTTAACAAAATAACACATTAGAATAATAAAAAATTTTATTTTTTCAATACCATATGATACTTTTAATCTAGTCATTATAGTGTTAAATTTTATTCGCTGCTAAATTAAATTAATTTATTCATTATAATTTTTTTTTTATTTATCATCCATAGTTCTATCATTTTTATTCATGATTAATGATGTATGTATCTCTTTATTTTTCAAACGATCAGAATCACTGAGAATGTCACGCTTTTCCATTTAGGCTACTGTCTTCATGGAAGATCAACTCTCAATGTTGAATTCTCATGTTCTTCTTCTGCAGCAGCCATTGTGTTGTCTGTTATCAATTTAAGTGCCTCTTTGATTGATTTGGTCACCTTTTCTCTTTTATAGGATTTGGTATATCAATAACCCTTAGAGTATTGTAGTTAATTTTTTATTATTTTCATTTATTTTGGGATAACTCACACAAAAAATGTGTGGAAATGGTTTTTTAATTAATAGAATTCATTTAAATTAAAAAATTAAATTTTTATAAGCTTAAAATAGATAAATAGAATAAATATATGTATAAATAAAATAAATAGAATAAATAGATGAAATATTGTATAAAATGGAACTTAATGGTGAAAAAAATTATAACTATAATATTAAAAAACATTTAGTGCCGCCATTTACACTTGAGCGATAAAAACCTACTGCATGCAGCGGCAATAGAATGACTCGACCTTATAAGCACATATTCTCTATAAAATATGATATATCTAACAATCGGTCAAATGGCACAGTGCCATGAATCCTACTTGTTTTAGGTGATTCCCTGTCGTGTGGACTGAACACCATGTTATTTTAAACACACTTATCAAGATAATGAACAGATAAATGTTTAATTCGATTAACTTTCATGACGCGAATTGAAGTTCTGTGTTTGGATATAATTCCTTTCTTGTCGTGGGGTAAAACCCATCTAAACCGTGGACATTCTTTGAGAAAATGTAACTCCACAGAAATTGAACTTATAGGTGCCAAAACTTTCCCTGTGTCACCTTAGGTACCAGATTTTGCTATTTTTCCAGTTTGTTTTACTTTTATATTTTACCATTTTACTACTTTTAGTAAAATGATGTGCCGGAATTAAAAACTCACTTGCAACTAGTTACACTCCAAAACAGTACGACCTGTACTAACTAATAGATTTTAATTACCTCTCATCTCGGGAATATTCTATGCCTTGACACGAAAAGGGAAGATAAAGTGGCGGAATCCATAGTTTTTTCACATTGTAATCTACGCCGATAAATGGCACCATTGTAATTTCAAAGAATTCCGTTAGTACCAGTTGAAGCTATACGTTTGCACCATTGCTGTTCTTTGCGTCACGACACCCGGTTAAAAAATGCAACACCACATCGAATGAAAGTCATTCTTCCCGCATAACTTTATGTTTTAACCATAGCCACCATAATAATTCCATTAAAGTGGCCAGCCTTTATTGGTCAGGACAGCCGAAGTTTTGTGTCCAACGGGGTCAGGTACTGGATTTACACCTCCGGTCGAATGCAGTATGTGCAACACAGCTACTGCCATTTATACTCCATTAGCATCGGGTAGTGCGTATTGGATTTTAGTCTGCTTTTACGACAAGCATGCCTTAACTCGGGAATATTATAGCTCCTTTTCTGAAGAGGTCGCCGAATTAAGCAAGCACTAAGCGGTTTTTTACCGACAGCGAACACCGAGCCTAACCAAAGGTGTCACAGCATGTAATTACAATTATTTCTTACCATTGAAGCAGCAGATTAATGACACTGAGCGGTAACGTAAACTAGGGCTAAGTGGAACTTATCGCTGCCCTTACAGGCTTTTCTGAAAATATCTACATCTACATATCTTCAGATATGTAATAGATGTATCTACATATATCTAATACAGATATCTATTATCACATGTCTTTGAAAATATTTATTTGGTTTTTATTATAGGTATATGATTTTTATTCAATTGTTGACTGCAAACATCAGGGGTTAAACCTAAACACTATTTACTTTGAAACGCAGAATCATGTGTTGAATTACTGAGACTACATTTCACTTGATTTATGTTGTTCAAACCTTCAGTTTCATAAAATTATTATTATTATTTTAACAAAAATGCACAATCCATAATTATTGGAAAAAACGCATAAACTACAGCTATATAAATGCACTTGAATTATTTTTGTTTATTTTTATTTTTAATCGCAATTTTATTAGTGGAATTTTTCAGAAATATTAATAAAGATGAAACGAAGTGGTATTTAATTTTTTATAGTATAAGCTATAGTCATCATTAACACACGTTACCATACAAGTATCTGCAACTGATTTGTGAGCATTTATATAAATCATAAATTAAAACCAATTAAAAAACGCAATAAAAACGTTGCGCTCGAGTACGCGGGTGTAAAAAAAATTACCCATAACAATGCCAAAAATATGAAAAATATAAAATTAATAAGAAAGAGCTGTATATTTATTTACAGTAAATTTAGCATTAAAAACAAATAAAGCATTTAAAGCATATGTGGTCCTGTAAGTTAGCGTAGGCTAACAATAAATTTTCTAGCCAGCATCGTCATAAATAATGAAGCAAAGAGACACCTCTCCTCGCTGCAATACAATGAAAACAGCACGAGTGACAACAACACCAACAAAACATTACCAAATATAATTAATCAAAAAGATATAAATTACACAAAATTAAATGGTAACGTTGAGATACAAAAATGTACTTGGCATAAACTTCAAATCGTTGGTGAACATAACTTACACCGCAGCCGCATAGTCACTCGAGAAAAATGTTCAAAGACAATTCGGTTAGATTTATAACGCGTGCCACATACTCTGAAATCTTGAAGTTAAAAAATAGGCTTAAATGGAGTTGAGCCAATGCTAAATGCTATAAGCATGCCAAAATTCGTTTCTTTTTTGTTATATATAAAGTATCTTACTCATTTGACCTTAACAGCAAAAAAAAAACTGTTTTGTTTAACAAATTTGTTTTATTGATAGTTGAAAGATACGTGCCAACTATTAACACCACACCGAGTGCCAACTTCGTCATTTAATAGATTCTTGCTGGGCCAAGTGTGATATCATTCAAACATTTTTTTATGTATTTTTTTCCTTCAAATTATTAGCCCAAAACTGCTATAGGTATTTATGAATTTGGTATAGTAGTCAAATATAAAGGATTAGCTCATTGATATGATATTTCGTCAAGTAATTACCATATACCTAAGTGTGTAGAATTGGCATTGCTTCTTCAATGCTTCAAAGCAGAGTACATTAAACTAAATAGCTAAGTAGTTATAAAATATAATATAATCCAACTCTCAGCATCCTAAAAATACAGCGAAATTTGATAAACACAGGCAGATACAAAGACATCAGATCCATCATATTATAAAGTCCCGTATTCAGTTATTCTTAGTGTGACTTAAAACTGTCCACAGATAAAATAGAGTAAAGGTGCTGATTCATCAACTCAGACTTCTGAATATCATAATAATAATATGGAATAGAAAATATTATTTTAAGTTATCAGAGATATATAGTCTTATTCTATATATGTTTCATTTCGAAAGTGATTTGAAACGAAATACATTTCATATTTTTTTTGGACACTATTTAGATTTTGCTATAAGGTGTGAAAAACTGTGGAAAGCTAACTAGATAGGGCATTAGCTCAATCGCAACTTCACAGATGTTCACTTTCAAAACAGCTAGAGTCTGCGGATTGATCGAAAGATCCTGTGCGAAAGATCCTACTTGAACTATATAACCAAATATGGATTGTGGTACCATTCTGATGACATCATATATCTATATTACCATTATCTTTTATTTTACTTTTCAAAAACATTGATAGTCGTATTGGGTAATAACAAGAACTGATGATTATATAAGTTCAACCGAAGTAAATGAACTTGTTCAAGCAAAAAATAAACCTTATTACTGTAGAAGACTAGACACAAAAAAAAACATTTTTGGAGCAAGTTTTCACAATAAAAATACATTCTGTGGCTGCCCAAAACGATAAAAGCTGGATATATGGTATGAGGAGAGTCAATTTTAGCGATGAATGATATTGTTTAAGAAGTCAAATGAAAAATTAAGTATCAACGAAATTGTAGATATGATCAGCACATCATATTTTAGTAATAAGATGGCAAGATGACAGTTGCGTTCACAGTTTCTGTGCAATTTTATAAATGTTTTTTACATTGTTCAATGGCTATCTGCAGTGATAATAGATCAGTTACATGACAAAATATCAAAGACTAAGAAAAAATCGAACCATGCCCCCACGGATGGTTCACAAATGAAAATATAAGTGGGTGCAAGATAATAAAATAGCAGAGACTAAGAAAAAATCGAACCATGCCCCCACGGACAGTTCACAAATGAAAATATAAGTAGGTGCAAGATAACAAAATAGCAGAAACTAAGAAAAAATCGAACCATGCCCCCACGGACAGTTCACAAATGAAAATATAAGTAGGTGCAAGATAACAAAATAGCAGAGACTAAGAAAAAATCGAACTATGCCCACACAAATGGTTCAAAAATGAAAATATAGGTGGGTGCAGGAATCTATATAGCCAAAGATGACCTCAGGATATTCTTCCAACTTCCACATTAGTCCAGTGTCCAAACTAAAAAGGAAATACCCTTGGTCTTATAAAATAATCAATGTATTAACAGTAAACTATCTTTTTGGACACTATAATTCCATTCTTGATTTCTCATCCAAAATACAATATTGCAACTAGTCAAATGGTATAAAATTCAACTGCCTAATACGTGATATTGGTTTAAGCCATAGAGACAATGACTAGGTCTGACAAATATAAGGTATTTGACTATAAAAATCAGTGAACTAATAGGCATAACAAAGGTTCTAAATATAGTTTTTTAAAAATCGATATTTTGTGTAAAGACATGAAGTATTGCACTTAAAGATGAATATGGATCTCTTCCAACAGATTAACAATAAGTCATACGCAAATTTGGTAAGCAAGTCCCAAAGCAGACGAAACTAATATGAGTTTCTGTCATATGACTTTATATCATATAAAAGACGTCCATAAACAATATAACGGATTTTCCTCTCAATAGTAATATAAGCAACGTATTAATAATATACTATCATCTCACTATTCTGTACACGACTTTCAATATAATAATTTTTTACTTCCAATAATTTTCAAACACTAATAAAGTATAAAAAGAAAAAAAAATATAAAAATTAATAAAATATCAGTTATTAAAGAAACAAAAAAATAAATATTTTATTACTTTTCTTTCGATATTTTTTATTTGTTAATAAATTTTTAACAAAATTAGTTATTTTGGTTCGTGTATTGACTATAAGATAATTGTTTAGTGACGTTGTTGGAGTTGGCATCACTGATACCAAAATTAACTAGTGGCGTCACGAACCAAATAAACTGCACACTAAATTAAAGTGACATCTTGCGAGGTTTTAAGAAAACTTTGTATTTATGCCCATGCCGTAAGGTGGCACATCGTACGTTTCCAGATAAAAATAACCAGTAGCCCTGGAAAAAATTAGAAATAAAAAAAAATTAAATAATATATTATAATATATAATATATCCAAATACACACGTATAATCTGTAATTTTATAATTATAAATATTAATAATATAATATAATTAATAATATACTATAATCTTATAGATAGTATATCTGTAAAATATTATATGAATATTATATCCGATGTAATGTAAAATACAGGATTTATTAGTAACCATTATAACGTAATATAATAGAAACATAATATATATAAAAAGTTTTTGTTTTATATTAATTACTGGGCGCACATAAACATAATATAAGTTATAAATTAATATAATAAATACTCATGTGCATATAATTTACCTTCTTGAAACTTCTTCTCCCATATAAACAACTTGAGTTTCATCCATTTTGCTGATAGCTTCAACCAAACTTGTTAAATTTAAATCGTTTTGCCATAATTTCGCTAAGCAAACATCAAGGTTACGAAACTGTATACTACTGAGTGGGCAAGGAAGTGCAGGAAAATTTTTAGGCAATTCTATGGACTCGGCATATAATACGACGGCACGATTGTGGCTGCAGCTATCTGTAAAATAACCAGTTCCCATACAATAATTTCACATTAAAAATGCTAATAAAGAGGTTTTCTGCAGAAACTTACAAGCCAATCGATACTTTGAATTGTTTGTTTTCAAAATATTTTTATAACTTAGTCACTTTTCATAACATAATTTATACATTTGAGTGGAGTTGAGTCCACGAGCAACGAGAAAACAAGAAGTCACAATGCAAATGCAAATACTATGTACCAGAAACCAACATTAAATTTGTATCAAGAATGATATTGTTTTGTATAGGAAAATTATTAATGTGCACAGCACAAATGGTATCATGAACACTAAAGTGTTTATGTAAATTACAAATTTAGAATAAAACTATTCATATAAAGCGTATATGGAGCAAGTCAACTTTATAATTAACATACTTCCAATGTCTGATATAATTTCTTTGGTACTCTAAAACTTTGGTTGAGTTTATTTCAAACCAAAACTTCAAGCTCTTAAAAAAAATTACACACTTACATCCTTCCAATAAAAGTTTGCTGGCAGCTAATAAATCCACATCGCCACAACCCTTTTGTTGTGTATAACCAAAATTGGGATAAAAATCTACTGTACCACGAGGTGTTAAGTCTCCAAAAATCGGAAAATCAGTATGTATCACATCAACAAATTGTGCATCATTCGATCTTAATCCATCCAAAGAAATAGGTGTGAAAAGTGGTAATGCAGGATCTAAGCCAGTAATACGACCTAAACTTCCATTGAAGAATCTTCCAATATTGCCTGCTATATGCGCACCCAAACTGTGGCCAATTATGTGTACTTGATTATACTCAATTTCGTGTTTGCTGCAATAAAATTCAATTTAGTGAAATAATTTATTATTTTTATTATTGTCATATATAATTTTGTACTTCAGAAATTCATACAAAGCCTCTGCAAAGTGTTTGGCGACTTTAGAGATGGCACGGCGGGAATTGTGATAATCCAAATTTGCCAAATCCTGCCAGTCCGCTATAAATACATTTGCTACTCCTTGAGCCAAATAAGCTGAAAAAAAGTGTCCATTTGAAACATATTTAATTTCTAAAAAATTAAATTAATAAAATCATTATACTAAACACTACTTAAATAGAATGCAAGAGCATATCTCAACTAAGCTATGAAATAGTATTCTTCCATTAAAACTAAATTTTATTATAATATAATGTAATATATTAAGATTTAATTTTATTAAATCTAAGTGATGATATTTTAGGTTTTACGCAAACACAAAAATAATTTGAAATAATCACTTCAATAAGCACTTAGTAGGCATATGGGTCATTTTCTGCAAATAGATTTTGCCCTAAACACCTCCGATGTGGCTGAATTTTTTTTTTTGACACCACAAAATAAAATATGAACTTCAGAAAATGCTAATGAAAAATATATTAAGAAATTTTATTCCTAGGTATATCCTAGGTTCCATAAAACTTCAAGAAGTTGTATTTTAGACTAATATTTAAGTAGCCTTATCTGAAGCCATGGTAAAGAAACGGCAGAGAAATGACTTGTCCTTTAATTTTAACAAAAATATTAGTAATTATATAGTTTTAAAAAAATTATTTTTTTTAAATTATACCTCAAAAATGTTTCTTTCAGATTAGGATTTTATATTAAATTTTTTTTAAGACTCGAAACTTTTAAATTTAATGAAGTATTCTTAAAAATTTGATTATGTTGTGATAATGTTAAACGCAAATCAAAAATAAAAAATATACATTTTCTATAAATAACTCGGAAAACTCATTTCAAATTAACTGTTAATATTGGTACTTAAGTATAATCAATTTCAATTGTTTAAACTATGTATAAAATGTTCAATCAATTATCTTTAAAACACAGTTAACTTTAGGTCTCTGCTACTTAAAGAACAAAAAATTATTGATTTTTTCCCCGAAAATATAGGTCTTTTTATTCATTCAGATGATCTTATACTTACCATTCGCTAAAGGCTTTATTGAACTATGACTACGTGATCCCAAAAATCCATGTACAATAATTTTGAAATTCTGTTTCGAAAGCAAACTCTCCACTTCATCCAATCTTAACTCAGATGGAGCTCCCAGACTGGATCTATTAGAGTTAAAAATTAGACTTTAAAAACATTATGCATATAGATAACCAAATTTTAAAAAGAATATAATATATTTATTTTTATATGTAATAATTTCATAGTTCAATTTTCTAAGAATTACTTACGGTCTTTGGTAATAAATGTTTGCTGTAGATAAGAGAGTTTCCTGCAACTTATGTCCATTAATCACACAAAATATTATATAGAACATAAATAAAAGCTTTATTAATTTTTCCATTGTATACTTCTGTTTTAAGTTCAAGATAAAATGTTGTTAATCAATGAGATTCTCCGGAAAACTAACTGAATTTAAATATAAATTTTATCTTAATGCAAATACCTGAAGCAGTTTGCGTGTTGGTTAAATTATATTTACTCCAATCACAATTACGCACACTTATCATATTAGATAATATGTGCTTGAAGTATTTTCTCAAATATATAGGAAAGTTTTGAGTTCTACATATGACTACATAATTATTTCCTTAAATATATTTCACTCATTTTAGAATATAAAATAATGACAACAGTATTCATTTCATATCAAGCAGTATTGATTTCAAAGATATCACTACACAATATATTAAATCAATATAATGATAGCTGAAGAGGTGTTCTCTTCTACACCTTTTAAAAGTCCACAGAAAACATATGATATGGATTATAAAACTGCAACCCATGAAATATTTACAATATAGATAGATAGGTAAAATGAAAGGTGATTAGATTCCTCATAACTGATTTGTGGAGCGTTGGATATTTTACAATCAACTGAACACATTTTTATGTTGGAAATTTTGTGGAGTGCCTTGAAGAGTGGATATAGTTAACTCTGGACTATGACCCAACAGACGCTTGGGTGTATTTTCTTCGAAGGCTGTAGACCGAGCTATATCTACAACGAAGATAGGATATTTTAGGATAATTTATAAAGAATTTGAATAAAGTTTGCTTTAATCATAATAAATATAATGTTCGATCAATATTATATTATTAGTTCCTTAAACGATTTGTTTTCAGTTATTAGACCACGATATTGCTTATAGAATTTAAGTAATTTTAAAAGGATCTTATAGGCATATTATAAATGCTTATAATTATTGTTTTCATTTACTATTACATTTTCAAAAATTTCAGAATTATTATTAAGAATTCAATCACTCAATTACAGGCATTGAAAGTATCCTTAATTCTTATTAAAGATATTAAATAGCTCTAATATATTATCCGATTATAGCCATCTCTGTTTCTCGTATCCTTTTCGAATAAGTGAAAAAAAAGTATCAACTCCCAAGCCACAAAATGGTTCCGGCCCTACAATTAGTGGCATTACAATATATGGTACCGCGATTGTCTCATTTAGTAAGCCGGATAAAACAAATTTTCTAATAACTGTTAGAATGACTAACATATTTATAGATCTAGAGATCTAACTAATGATTTAGAAATGATTTAAAGACAAGGCAAGACTATAATAAAAGTTTATTCAATAATTCCATAAGATCATATTCCATAATCTTAGATGTAAATTCCAAATATTTATATATTACCATTTTTTTTAATTTAACAATAAAAACATCAAAGGCCTTTTGCCTGATCCAATACATTTCACTAATTCCAAAAAATCGAAAAAAAAACCACTTATATCTTTTGTTATGCCTCTCAAGAGATGGCTTTGACAGCATAAGAAGTCATCTGCCCGCCCATTTATCTAATGTTGGTATTAATGTTTTATACGGTTATTATCTTTTAGAAACAGTCTTAACAGTTCTTAATATTCAACCTAGTTGAAAGCTTCTAAATAAGTAACGATCCATACTCGTATACCATGAAGAATCAGTATTATGCTGCATACTACTATTTATATATACTAATTTCAAAACCTCTTTGACATACTTAATCAGTAATCAGATTAAATGAGTTTACAAATTTAATAATCAAATCCGGATGGCAGCTGTCGTAAAATGTATTGTTTTCAGCAAAAAGACGGTTTTATACAAAAAATATATTATTATTTAGCCGACAGATTATATTTTAGATATCTGACTTAACCATGGGCGAAGAATATGTAACTTCAACGAAATCAAAGTTCAGGTCTTTTATCGACATTTAAGACATAAGAGAGTAGGTAATGAGGATTATCAAAAGAGTTGATATGGACGACAAATGATTTACTTATTAATTCACTGTATAATATATTTTTTCAAAATTAAAACAAAACAAAACATAGTATATACATGTGTAGATATGTATATGTTTATATATTTAAATAGTTATATATATATTTCATTAACAGAATTTCTATGCTTGTAATAAAGTTATATAAATACATTGATATTTTATCATTTCCCTATTACATACAGTGTTGTGCATAACAAAAGCAACCAAAATTTGCCCATCCAATAAATAAGTTTTTTGTCTACTTTTTACTTTTCATTCAAAAATCTAAATACACAGTTTTATTTGTTATTGTATTAGCTATTATAAAAAAACAACAAAATCTACAATTCTTCATAACGGGTTAATTAATTCACACAAATAATAAAATAGTGCGAAATGCGGCTGTGCAGAACAATAGCAACTGAGACAAGATCAATGATAGATCTATGACCAAAGTGCATTCTAGCAAGATATTTTTTTGATTTTTTGCATTTTTATGCTGTGATTTATGTTTTTAAACAAATTAGAACATAAACACAGAATAGTTCAATATTAAATCAGGTAATGGAAGTACGTTTTTATCATGGCTCGTGACACGTATACTTTGAAGTTTAAAGAAGCAAGAATTGAAAAATATTTAAATGGCAGTGCTCAAATGAAATAGCCAAAATATTTAAAATTAATTAGTTTATTGTTTCGTAGCTTATAAAAAAATATAATTGGACAAAATACCGTTAAAACGGTTTATTTGGGTGAAGCCTCTCTTAAGATTACTTGTAGAATTGATCGAAACATCATAAGAATTACAAAAAAAACAACCATTCGTGTCGTTGAAAAAGGTCGTAGCCGAGCTTAAACAAGGTGTTGACTCTAGTACTGTACGCAGGCTTACTCTCGAAGCCGGTTTCAAAAGTTACAGACCAGTCAAAAAACCAATGTTGACTAAAAAGCATTAGCAAAAGAGGCAGATTTTTGTTTTGCTTTTTAATTAATATTAATATACTTCATTTAGATCAAATTTCGCGTGGAATCACTTAAATTGGACTCTTACTAAATGGAAAATAATTTTTTTCAGCAATAAATCAAAATTTAACATCTTTAATTCTGATGGGATGTGCACAGTACGTCGCGAAAAAGAAAAACGTTTGTATCCGCGTAACTGCCAAGCGACTGTGAAGCATGGGCGTGTGTCAGTAATAATTTGAGCGTTCTTTTCAGGATTTAGACTAAGATCTTTTCATGAAATTCATCAAATAATAGCCCAACATGTGTACAAAAAAATTTTAGAAAGCCATATGGTACCCCATGGCGGATGAGAAATGTCACTCCGACGGGTATATCAGTACGATAACGACCCAAAACACACCATAAAGCTGATAAGAGAATGGATTTTGAAAAATGGAATTCCAATTTTAGATTAGCCAGCCCAAACACCTGATTTTAATTCAATTGAGAACATTTTGGTATTCTCAAACGTCGCTTTGGGGGTCGAAAAGTTTCCAAATGTTTGAGGTCATGAAAGTTGAATGATATAAAATTCCAAATAGTTTTATTAACAATTTAATATCACCTATGACCCGTAGAAGTGCCCAAGTAATAAAAAGCAAAGGGCTTTATACAAAATTTAGAAAAATAATACAAAAATTTAATATAATAAATAAAGTTGCTATTGTTCTGCACAGCCGCTTTTCGCAATATCTCATTATTTTTGTGAATTATTTAACCCGTTATGAAGAATTGTAGATTTTGTTGTTTTTTTATAATAGCTAATACAATAACAAATAAAACTGTGTATTTAGATTTTTGAATGAAAAGTAAAAAGTAGACAAAAAACTTATTTATTTGAGGGGCAAATTTTGGTTGCTTTTGTTATGCACAACACTGTATATATATCTAACTTTCTTATATATATATTAATATATATTATATACAAATTAATTTTTTTTAAATAAAATTTTTTCAGTGTAAAAAATTATAACATGATACAATAACTTTTCAGTGCAATTTATTCTTTTGGTTCATGTATTAACTATATTGGGAAGTTTTGGCAGCATTTCAATTGATTTGTTACTATTGAAACCAAAATTAATTAGTGGCGGCATGAACCAAGCACCTTGTGAGTCTTCAGAAAATTTTGTATGTGTGCCCATACCGTAAGGGGGTGCATCATTAGTTTCGAGATAATAATAACCAGTAGCGCTGAAAAAAGATAATTTTATTACATAAATAGTTTAAATATATATATATAATCTACAAAATATATTATTATTAAAATATATAGAAAACATGTTTCGACAAAATGAAGAAAGATTTTGTTTTCCTTCATTGAAATAACTAAACCATTACTTTTACAATATAATATATACATATAATTTACCTTCTTGAAACTTCTTCTCCCATATAAACAACTTGAGTTTCATCCATTTCACTAATAGCATTACCTAAATTTGACAAATTCTTGTCGTTTAGTGACACCCTCACTAAGCAAAGGTATAGATTACGAAGTTGTATGCTACTGAGAGGGCAAGGAAGTGCAGGAAAATTCTTAGGCATTTCTACAGACTCGGCATATAAAACAACAGCACGACTGTGACTACAACCAACTGTAACATGATCAGTTCCCATTTAAATCATCAAAAATGTAAATCGCTAGAGTAATATACACTTACATGCTTCCAATAGAATTTTACTGGTGGTTAATAAATCCATATCGTTACAACCCTTCTGTTGTGTATAACCAAAATTGGGATAAAAATCTACTGTCCCACGAGGTGTTAAATCCCCATATACAGGAAAATCAGTATGAATCACATCAACAAATTGTGCATCAGTTGATCTCAAACCATCCAAAGAAAAAGGTGTAAAAAGCGGTAATGCGGGATCTAAGCCAGTAACACGACCAAAACTTCCATTGAAAAATCTTCCAATGTTTCCTGCTATATGCGCACCCAAACTGTGGCCAATTATATGCACTTCATTATAGTCAATTTCGTGTTTACTATAATAAAATTAAATTCAGTAAAATTATTATTATTAATTTTTATCATTTCTTTATTTTTATACCTAAAA